TTAGAAGGTCTTTAATCCCATTCACAGGGGAGGAGCCCTCATGACCTAATCAGCTCTTAAAAGCTCAGAACACCTACCACCTTGGCCGTTAGTTTCACCACCAGAATTTTGGAGGGAATACATCAAACCAAAGCAATAGCCCTGGGTAACAAAGGCCTTTTCCTGCCCTGGAAATGCCAGAGCTGCCGTCTGTAATGGAATAATGTGATTGGTAATTGTGTCACGTAGAACCAAGAGAGACCAGCAACCTCCGCCAGACCAGTAGAGATCCTGGCATCAGATGCTGCTTCTCCATGTCCTTTTGACTTCAGACACCCTAGTTCCCGGACTTTCAGCCTCCTTGTAAAATGTAACACTAAGATACTGGTGCCTATGGGTCTGAGTTAAAGCTGGTGTGTACATTTCCTTCTTTTCTCTGCTTGCTGAAACTCATTTCTTCTTATGCGCTTAGTCACCGCAGAAACACCAAAAACAGTTTCTTCCAGTGTAGGCCAAGCATTCTGGGTCACGTGATTGCTAGCATTGTGCTTACGATAGGAAAACGTGTACCACCCAAACAAGCAGACTGCCTTGTTGAATGATTCTGTTGTTACACATTTTCCTCATGTTTTTGTGGAGGCCTTTATGTTTCTGAATCACGGAGTCAGCTCTGACTCCACTGTACCTTCACTGGATCTCATTCTGTGGAATCAGCTGTATAATCTTCCTTCTTTGTATGACCCAAGTCCTTTTCTATTCATGTTGCCACCATCCTACCTCTAGCCTTTTTTCCCCTAGAGTTTATTTTCCAATTTTCCTTGTTTTCTATTCTGATGAAATAGCCTCAGCCCTCTTTGGTAGTACCTCACTGCTGGCAAGAGTAGGTCCACAGTTCCTAGCTTTGCTTGTATGCTTCTGCACAGCCTGGCAGCAAGGGCACCTCTTTTCCCTCCTTCCTCCTCTGCCAGCCCGAGCAACATGCTCACGGCACCTTTGCATCCAGCCTTCCGTACCAGCAGAGCAGCGTGCTCACGGCACCTTCGCATCCAGCCTTCCATACCAGCAGAGCAAGCCATCCATCACTCCCCGTGTCCCAGGTTCCCGCCATCATCTCCAGTCTAAACTCAGGCGCTGCCACTCCTTGATCACTGTGGTCCTGGCTGCTCCCAGAGCACATATTGTCTGTGCCATAGTCAGGGGGGCCTCACACCCCTTTCTGTGTCATGATTTCATTTGCCTCAACTGCAAACTCCATGCTAACCAAGGTCAGGGACGCACTTTGGACATCTCCAGATTCCGTCCAGTGCTGGGCCCAGAACCTGGCATATTGTTGGTGCACCTTCCTCACCTTCTCACTTGGACTCCCGTGTTCATCCTCACGGTCCTCGGACACACCTGGTTCTTCTTCACTTTGGACTCTGTTCCTGGTCTTTATTTTTGATAGTCCTGTCAAAAAGTTGACTGTCTTTCTGTCCTGTCAAGAAGACTACTACCTCCAGGCCCTTTTCTCTGCTCATCACGCTCTACACGATAAAGTAGATGGAAGGCCACACCGTTGGTGGAGAACATCTCCCAGCAGAAGCGAGCTTGACCAGTTTTCCTTGCAGTTATCCTCCAGCAAGTGATCATGATTTTTATTCTGTGTGTCAGCTGGGAGACCTCCAGAAACAAACCAGGCCCACAGTCAGCAACCAACAGGGCTGTGAGACTGCCCTGCAAACATTTATTTGGAAGTCTCCCACTTACAGATGCTTCCTCATGCTTTCCTTAATAAGCTTCACTTCATGTTGAAACATCTGAGTGACCAGGGCGGGCACCTGTCATGGCGTGATGACGCGCCACTTTCTCTGCTGTCGTAGAACTGAGGATTTTTTTCCCTTCTGCCGCTGGCATGACAGACATCCACTTAGTGGAGTGATTATCAGTGTAAAATTCCTTTCTGGCCTTTAAATTTAATTATGCCACATTCGTAGCAATAATATAACATCTCAAATCCAGGTATGCTTTTCAAGGAAAGTGTCCAGGGCAATTACCCTCTGATGATGGTGCCCTGCACTTAAGTCTTTTGTCTGGGGGTGTTAAAGTCATTTCTACACAAGTAGATAATGGGGTTCGTTTTGCAAGGGGTGAGAGGTGAAGTGATTGACCCCTTGGCATACTTGAGGTGACGACAAGTCCAGGACCCAGGTGTCTCCTTTGTTCTTCCCCCTCCGGCTGCCTTTTCAGCTTTTTCAAAGAGGCATGGCCAAACTTCTGCTGGTTTAAATACTTCCCTTCCAGGTATTGGTCTCACTTTTTTAAGAGCATAAATGAATACAAAATGTTTCTATATCACATTTCGGTGTGGGGAAGAGTTAAGATTCAGGGAAGGGGATGGTTTGCAGATACGTGCACACTTGTCTGAGGACATACCTGTCTGCCCTGATAAACCTGCCTCAGCACTATTACATAAAAGAGCTTAGATGTGGGTTGTGCGGGCTCAAGGATGAGAAGCAGTTGGAACAGTGCCTGGCACATGGCAAGCCCTGTGTGAGTGATGGATGCCAGGATTGTCTTACTGGTATCTGTGGGCAGGCCCCTCCGTCCCTGGAGAAGCAGCATTTAGAGCGGGCCGTTGCTCATGCTCTCTGACAGTTTGGATACAGCTCCCCTCTATCCAGCAAGCCTTTCCAGGTCCTTGGCAGCTGGTGTAAGTCCAGTTTCCCTGCTCCAGGAAGCCTGCCCCAGCCCAACTGTCAGTCACCTACGATACCTGTATCATTTTCGCAGTTCAGTTCAGCAAACGTGAACTGAACTTCTAGCTTATACTAATAACGTAGTATAAGTCTGACTTGGGCACTAAATCATGCTCCGTTGTATAATACAGTTTTAACTCCTATAGGAATGTTTGTTTGTGTCTAATGGGATGATCCAGACTTAAGGAAAAAGTTCTCTTCTTTTTCTTTTTCTTTGAGACAGGGTCTTACTCTGTCACTCAGGTGACGCGCAGTGGTATGAATCTGCAGCCTCAACCTCCTGGGCTCAAGCGGTCCTCCCACCTCAGCGCCCTAGATAGCTGGGGCTACAGGCATGCGTCACTATGCCTGGCTAATTTTTGAATTTTTTGTAGAGACAGGGTTTTGCCATGTTTCCCAGCCTGGTCTCAAACTCCTGAGCTCAAGCAGTCCACCTGCCTCATCCTCCAAAGTTCTGGGATTACAGGTGTAAGCCATTATACCTGGCCTGAAGAGCTCATTTAAACTGTGGTTTTGTGTGTGTTGCATGTGTGTGTGGGGTGTGTGTGTGTGCGTGCAGATATATATGTATGTGGGGGGCATGTATGTATATGTGGGGGGTATATATGTATATGTATGTGTATGTATGTGTTGAGTGTGTGTGTGTGTATGGGAGGATATATATGTATGTTGGGGGGAGTATATATGTACGTGTGTGTGGGTATATGTGTGTGTGTGTATATATGGGAGGATATACATGTATTTTGGGGGAGTATATATGTACATGCATGTGTATGTGTGTGTTGAGTGTGGGGGTGTGTGTGTGTATGGGAGGATATACATGTATGTTGGGGGGTATATATGTACATGTGTGTGTGGGTATATGTGTGTGTGTATATATATATGGGAGGATATACATGTATGTTGGGGAGTATATATGTACATGCGTGTGTATGTGTGTGTTGAGTGTGGGTATGTGTGTGTGTGTATGGGAGGATATACATGTATGTTGGGGGAGTATATATGTACATGTGTGTGTATGTGTGTGTTGAGTGTGTGGGTATATTGTGTGTGTGTATGGGAGGATATACATGTATGTTGGGGGGGGAGTATATATGTACATGTGTGTGTATGTGTGTATAGGCATTTCCCCCAGAGACAATTCTGCATATGCAGCAGGAGCTCAGTATTCTCTAAGAGTAAAGAGTGGAAAGTATTGAGGCCAGAAGAGGCCAGACTGCACATGCTTGGTCAAATCCAATATGGTAAATTCTTGCTGCATGGACGTAGTAAAGGTCTTCCAGAGGCTGAAAGAGCCCGTAGCCAGGGGTGTGCACGTCCTCTTTCTTCGGTCCCCCATAACACAGTATTCTATTCTGTTGTATATGAAGGGAGTCCAGTGTGGACTGAGTTCCTCCTACCTGTCAGACGTCATGGAGAACACAGATGGGCGTCTGAATAAAAAGCATTGTAATCCAGTAGATGATAAATAAACACACAAGTGCTTATGAGAAAGGTGTACCGTGATGAACCCTACAGCTGAGATTCAATCAAAGGGCTTTGCAGTTGAAAGGGGGATGTGGGCAGGGCGCGGTGGCTCACGCCTGTAATCCCAGCACTTTGGGAGGCCGAGGCGGGTGGATCACGAGGTCAAGAGATCGAGACCATCCTGGTCAACATGGTGAAACCCGGTCTCTACTAAAAATACAAAAATTAGCTGGGCATGGTGGCGCGTGCCTGTAGTCCCAGCTACTCGGGAGGCTGAGGCGGGAGAATTGCCTGAACCCAGGAGGCGGAGGTTGCGGTGAGCCGAGATCGCGCCATTGCACTCCAGCCTGGGTAACAAGAGCGAAACTCCGTCTAAAAAAAAAAGAAAGGGGGATGTGGTAGTCTTTAGCTGGGGATCATGAAAACTTTATTTATTCAGCGGTTACATATAGAGAGGCAGTCTTGTGCTCCAGGCCGTGCTAGTGCTAACGCTTCATGGAAGGGCCTGGAGGATGAAGTTAGCACTGTTCTCCCGGCCGCTCCCCTCCCAAGTATCAACACTTTTGTTTCTCTTCTCCAGTGTTTATGAGAGAGACCTTCTATTCCTATCACTTTTTCCCCTAACACGAAAAGCATTCCGAGGAGCTGAGGACCACTGTTCCCTCAGTACTGCCTTCTCCTGGATGTGAAGCTAATTTCCTTTCAGTAGCTCATTAGTGTTCCCAGCCGGGGTTTGCTCCCACTCCCATAGTGTCCTAATGAAGCGCTGACTGCAAAGGTGAGAGCTGCTGACCCTGTTTGCCCTTTGGTTTCTTCCAGGATTTTCTTCCCAGGCAGCCATCCCGTCAGAGGTGTTCAGGTAATGAAAGTTGGCAAACTGCAGCTACATCAAGGCATGTTTCCCCAGGCGATGAAGAATCTGAGACTGGTGAGTGTGCCAAGATCACGTGTAGTTCTGCCTGGTATCCTTTTTTTCCTGGCGGTTGCTGGGCCCCTTTGTGATTTTTTTAGCAACTCTACATATGTGTGCACGCATACACACGTATGCCCAATGTGTGCTGGTAAATGTTTAACAACCACTCTGGAAAAGACCTGCTTTGTGACATTTGCCTATTTCTGTGATGCAAACATGCCCACCATGGCTGATTTTCAATGTGAAATCAACCTTCTTGTAAAACTAATAGTAACAATCACTCTTGCAACCTGGTGCAAAAGCAGCCTCAGAGCACCACTGCCCCTGTGCCGCTCCACATCGAGCAAGTTGGCCTTGTTTGTGCCTCCGTCCCATTGCCCATGAAACACAGCCCATATTCCCTGCATGGCAAGCACTTGACCATCTGCGTGGCAGTTCGCCTTTGCAGCCTCTTCTTGCCTCCCTTCCTCTCTCCCTCCCCACCACCCGGGGATCACTGCTGCTCGCCAGTAGGCACTGTGACCCTGAACTTCCCCTCCCTCAGTCTTCACAGAGCTCTTTACTCTGCTTTCCGTGCTCACCCCACCACAAGCCCCTGGGCTTGGCAGAACAGTGCTGATCCTTTAAGGCCCAACTCCAGTGTTGTTTTCTCCTCCTACCCCTACAGATCATTGCCCACCCTGCCAGCAGAGCACATTTCACACTGCAGTAGGCATACCTGATGACCACCCCCACCCCTGCCTCAGCAGAGGGCGTGTCTTCCTGGTTCTCTTTGTAACCAGCTCAGTGCCGTGCAAGGGACCTGGAACTTAGGAAGTATTCATGTTGTGGGAAGGCAGAGGGAGGGAGGGAAGGAGATCAGTTAATATGGTTCTGGCAATAAGTGTCAAGAAACTAAACAGGAGAATGGTTTAGGGATGGAACGCCTCGTTGAACATGACGCTTAGTTCCACGCTTTTAGGGAGTCTCTGCCCAGAGGAACCCGGGGCTGTCTGGCCTTCCTGCCTCAGCAGAGCTTCCCCTCATCTAGTCCGTGGCCCTTCCAAAGGAGAGCTCACATGCTCACCTGGCCCAGGCCCTGGTGGGACATATGGAGACCTGGCGTGTGAGGTTTCGTAGGAAGCACTTGACACTTTGACAGTCTCCTCTGGGCCACCATGCCCTGTGTGCTGGAAGGTCACAGTGGAAGGATGGGCCCACTTCAGGGTTGCTCAGGGCATGTCCAGGGGCCCACTGATCCCATGACTTTGACAGCCACTCACGTGAACCTAAGAGAAATGGCAAATGCCTAAGGGATTCTTAAAAATAAGAGTCCCTAGAGCTCATTTTCGCTGCATGCTAGCCATACTGCCTTTACTTGATCTCTAAATAAAGCCAGCATATGGCCAATAATAGTAACACTAGGAGTTCCCGAAGGCACTCAGCTATTCCTCTTCTTTTTACCGTGTCTGACATGTTTACCCAGCCTTCTGGAAGAACACCTCAGTCTCTTGCAGTCTCAGGAAGAACATTCCTTTTCTGATCTTGCTGGTACTTGTCAGCCAGTCAAATCAGCTAGGTACAGAAAATACTTATTAAGGATCTGTGTGTGAAAGTCTTGACAGACAAGTGATGTAGAGGAAGTTTCCTAATGTACGATACACCCAACACGGGGTTACCTGCAAGGAGATGTCCATCAGTGATCAAACCCGACCTTTGTGTCTACGTGGGACTAGAAACTGAATATTGCTCATGTGTACGCGATTGTGTTTAGTCCTCGTGACAGGTGACGGCTGTATGAGGTCAGTGGGGTCGGCATTTTCATTACTATTTGAGAAATGAAGGCGCTCAGGTTTGGAGACATGCAAGAGCTCACCTAAAGTCACACGGAGGCAGAGCCAGGTGTGTTTGTTCAATTTAATTCAACACGTGATTAAATGCTTCTGTTATTTTGAATAAGACTCAGGCTGGGTACAGTGGCTCATGCCTATAATCCCAGCACTTTGGGAGGCCAAGGCAGGTGGATCACCTGAGGTCAGGAGTTCAAGACTGGTCTGACCAACATGTGAAACCCCATCTCTACAAAAATAAAAATTAGCCAAGCATGGTAACAGGTGCCTGAAATCCCAGCTACTCAGGAGGCTAAGGCAGGAGAATGGCTTGAACCCAGGAGGCAGAGGTTACAGTGAGCCAAGATTGCGCCATTGCACTCCAGAGGGAAAAAAAAAAGATTCAGTATGGTCCATACAATTTAATGGAGGAGAGAGACATGTGAATAAGTCATTAAATCCAGGCCAGAACCCAAGGCTCTGTTTTTCCTCTAGCCTGGTCCAGTTCAGTAGGTGAGGCTCTCTGTAGATCAGTGAGTAGAAATCCCTTAAGACCTAGCCAGACCCCTGATGCCAACTAGGGGGAAAATATGGGAGAGAGATTTAGATTGCTGCTTTTCTTTATGTGAAGCGTTAGTCATTGCCGTTGCCTACAGAACTCCTGAAGGAGACATCTAATAGGCTCAGCTATAAGAACAAGCCCGAACAAACCCAGACAGACACCACCTCTCTCTGGGTTTTCAGGATAATGTGTCCTGGGCTGATGGTACTGACCATCACCAGCCCTTCCGATGACCCTGTTATTGCCCTTTTACATCCCTCGTGCCCAGTTCTGTCCTGGTGCCCTCATGCCCTTCTTACGCAGTTGCATCATCTGTTTCAGAAGCCTCTCTGGGTAATCGTGTTAGCATTTCCTGTTCTTGGTACCAAGGTGAAGCTCAAGCGTGGACCTTGATAAATGTCAAATGAAAGGTATTCTGGGAACTGCGTCAGATTATCTGTCAAGAGGCCCAGGGTTAAATCGTGGTCTTACCCAAACTTCCTGTTTATCTCTACATAAGTCATTGAGTCTCTTGCCAATGTCTGATTATCAACCAAGGAGCAAACATGTACTCCGGGCAGAGGCACAGAAAGAGTACTGGGATTCAGATTCAGTAGGTTCAGGTTCCAGTCCCACCGTTTACTAGGGGTGTGTGTGTGTGTGTGTGTGTGTGTGTGTGTGTGTTTTGAGAGGGGGTCTTGCTCTGTCACCAGGCTAGAGTACAGTGGCACAATCTCAGCTCACTGCAACCTCTGCTTCCTGGGTTCAAGCGATTCTCCTCCCTAAGCCTCCTGAGTATCTGGGACTACAGGTGTGCACCACCACACCCAGCTAATTTTTGTATTTTTAATAGAGATGGTGTTTCGCCATGTTGGCCACGGTGGTCTTATTCTCCTGACCTCACTCTGTATATAATTTTATTTGTAAAAGGAGGCTGATATCTATCCCACAGAGTTGTTTTGAGGAGAAAATGAGGCAATGTGTGAGTGTGCTGGCTGATAACAGGCATTTTGAAGCTATGAAAGATTGTTGTTATAGGAACTCTCGTTCTGAGCACCCTCCCTCTAGCTGGTCTCTTGAGTACTTGTGTTTGTAGTTTGGGGTCACACGGTGGTTCCTCTGTTGAACAATTATGTTACATGAGTACTCCCAGCAGTGCTTTGCTTCCCCAAGGTGAGTGGGAATTCCTCGAGGGACCTGACATTCCTTTTATATTTTCTGGTGCCATAACATAGGCACCCGTGCCTCCCACACATCTTGACTGGGTGGGTTTGTTTTACTGGATACTCTGAAAGCCTCACCCTGGCCCTGTTGTTTAGCAGTTTATGGTTAAAGGACCAGATCTTCTCATGACCTTTGCTGAGTATTTGCTAGCAGAGGGATGGCCAGAATGTATCCATCCCCAGGAAAACTCACATGACCTGTGAGTCTATAAGCAGGTCAGTTTCTTCCTGCAGAAAGTCTTTCTTTCCCAAGCTTTCTCAGGACTCAGGTAAACTGGAGAGGGAAGAGGGAGGCTGTTCTCTTTGCCGTGTGAGACTGATGCTCTCTTCAGACGGGCACCCCAGGACACTGTTTCGTCTTAGAAATCCTGAAAATAATGGAATGAAATCGCTTGAATAAGGTTTTTGAAGACTGAGTTTGAATAGAAATCAGAGGAGCTTCAGAAACATAAATTTGTTAAGATTCAGTTAGGCTCCAGCCGCCTCCGGGAGAGGAATCCACTTAGCCCAGCTCTGATTTGGTTTAGCCTCCCATTTCTACAGGGCTCAGTGGAAATTCTTGTGATTGCTGCCACAGGACAGTCCTGGGTCCATTCACAGTGCCTCCTCCTGCTTTCTCCTGTCTCTAATCTGCTTTTATTTCTTTCCATTTATTTCTTAGAAGGACTTTGTTTGCTACAATTTGACTTCTTGGACCTCAGTGACAACCCATCTGGGCTGTCTTATGAGTGAGAGCTGGTTTTTCCTGTGAGCTCTGCATGCTGCCTGCTCCCTCACCCTGGCCCTGCTCTAGCTGCTTCGTTAGCAAAAGTCTGCTTGTAAACCTTAGACTTCTTTCCCCTTGGTATCCATTTTTTTAAGAATCTGTATGTAAAATTTTTGTGTTATCATTTTTCCCTTGTTTAATTTCATTGAAGTATTCTATATCTTGAGCATCTTTTTAGTTTTTCTGCGTCTAAACGGAGTGCGAGGCCGCAAGTCCTAGATGTTGCTCCTTTTGCTGCTGCCTCAGCTCTCCGGATTTCCAGCCCCCAGCAATGGCCGATTTACAGCATGCAGTTCTGTTGTTCCCATTTCTTAGTCTGCTCCAGTGATTCTTAACCTCTTTCATGGTGTCCTTATTTAGGAATCTGATAAGGGCTACTGACTAACTAGAGAAATGCTACATACACATATATGGAGACTCCATGAAGCCTTTCCATGGACTAAATCTCCATGATGTCTAGGTTAAAAAGCCCTCCTCTAAACAGTTAATATCCTACTTTACATCTGGGGAGGTGGGAGGGAAAAAGGGAGAAGGCGGTGGCCTGCGGAGATGATGTTCACTCATTGCTGCTAATACCTTCACAGAGTTGTTTGGAAGCCCCTGGCTCTAATACTTACCAATGGTTCCTGCTGACCTCCAAATAGAGAATAACCGTTCCCAGGGTATGTTTTTGAACC